TGCCACTACGACTTCGAGTGGCGGGCAGCTGAGATGATGGAGCCCGTGGTATCGAACGGCGGTCCTGTCGCCGAGGACAATATCATCAACCGTCGCGGTGGTGAATCGATCTATCAGAGCTGTGTAAATCTCAAGAAACGGCTGGCTGAGGTACCGAACTTCGAACCCCACTTGCGAGAGATGGAGGAGGAGGACGAGAAGCTGGGCAACACCGACCCTGTCGCATCGCTCTGGAATTGCCTTCGGAATGGATACCCCTTGTTGACCATCTACAATGCCTCTGATCCCCCCGAGCTCCTCGAGATCGATCCTTCCAAGGTTCCAGAGGCGAAACGTCCCAAAGCCGCCACCTTCAAGTTCCTACAGGCGTCGTTGCAGGAGCTGGCCTTTCCCCAGCAGGACTGCTTCTTGATCACCGATCTATATGGCGACAGTACGACTGGCTTTATCAAGGTGATCAAGATGGTGAATCGCGTTTTGGATATACTGGAGATGCAGGGCCAGTTGAAGCGGTCTTCGGATTCCACAACTTCGGCTCCAGCGAAAGGGGCGGTGAAGCTCACCAAGAGGGAGTTCATTCTCAAGGAGTTACTGGAGACAGAACGCGACTACGTCCACCACCTACAGAATCTGCAGGCTCTCAAGAAAGAGCTAGAGGAGACAGGGGCTCTGACTGGAGATGCTAGCCACCAGATCTTTCTCAACTTGAACAATCTCCTTGATTTCGCGCAACGGTTTCTTATTCGGATGGAGCAACATTACGCCCTACCTGAGGATAAGCAAAACTGGGGTGAGCTTTTCATTCAGCACGAGGAGGCTTTTCGACAATATGAGCCGTTCATCTCGAATCAAATGCGCTGTGATGAAGCCTGTCTCAAAGAGTGGGACAAGATTCGGTCAGCACCGCGGCCGCTCGACCTTCAGCAGATGGTCGCTCAGCCTGCAACTCTGAACAGTTTCTTTGTCAAGCCTTTTCAGCGTATGACGAAGTACCCCCTGATGCTTATGGTGTGTTGACTTCCGACCTGATGTGTGCGCACCGTCATTAACCACCGGTTACAGGAACTGCGCAAACAAACCGAGGATCCCGATCTCCAAGCTAATATCACGAAGGCTATTGACACCATCCAGTCTGTTCTCGACTCTGCAAACGACGCGATCGACAAGGAGCACCTAGCGTCGGCCTTTCTCGATTTGGATGAACGAGTAGACGACTGGAAGGCTCTGAAGATCGACTCGTTCGGCGAATTGCTCCGCTATGGCACATTCACTGTCTTGAAAGGCGACACGGGCAAGGATTCTGAAAGAGAGGTTAGTACCTGTTTTGCGAATCCCTGTTATTTGACAAGCAAGCACTCATTATGCTAACCAAAATGCGTCCGATCTAGTATCACATCTATCTCTTCGAACGGATATTACTCTGCTGCAAGGATATCAACCCAAACAAACAGAAAACCAAGTTGATGGTCAGCAAGGATAAGCCGGCCACAACTATCAAGGGCAAGCCACGTCTGCAGCTGAAAGGTCGCATCTACATGGCCAATGTGACGGATATCGTTTGCCTTCAAAAGCCAGGTATGAGCGTTCCCCCACCCTTGGACATATGCCCACCACAGTTCTAACAGGTAATCCCTCCCCGCAGGATCCTATCGGATTCAGATCTTTTGGAAGGGCGATCCTGGTGTTGTGGACAATTTCATCATTCGCTTCCAGAATGAGGACGTAATGCGCAAATGGTACAAGGAGATTGACTCGCAGCGAGCGATTCAAGCCGAGCAACGCAGCGCCCGAAACACCGGTACTTCCGAAACGGAATTCATGTACATGAAGGGCATTGCGAACATACCGAATCCTTATCAGCAAGAGTACGACGCTGAAGAGCAGGGCACCAAGGAGGCAGCGTTCTTCTCCGAGTTCCCAATGAGCCGCAATGCGTCCAGCACGAGTCTTCGAACCCGGTCCGCAACAGGAGGAAGCGGGAGCTCTGGACCTCCGCTGTCATCCGGCCGGCAACCGCGCTTCCCGCCTGACCCCAGTCTGTCCGTCCACACGCAGTTCACGCCCGGTAGCATGTCACCTGCAGAGAGGAACATGAACTCGTACTTCTCCCCTGTCGCCGAGACACCGTCGACCAGATCGAGTTCCCAATCCACTGGCTACTCGTATGGGCGCCAGGGCACACCGTCGAACAACTGGAATGAGGAGCCTAATCGCTACACCGCTCCTGCACTGTCTCGTGGCGTATCCAGAGATGGTACCAACTTCTTCAACAACGCGCCCAATGGCCGGGGTACTCGACCTTCTCTTCCGCCTTTGGCAGGACAGGCCAATGCGAACGGCATGGCCCCAAGAATGCGGTCCGCTAGCAGCCCGGACATTCATCATCACAACTCCGAATCGCGTCGGTATATGGGAGCCCACACGATGCAGACCGTGGACAATGTCCCGGTACCGCCCATTCCTGCTCATATGGCCAGTATGAAGGCGCCAGTGAACAGAAGCCAGAACAATTCGCCTACCGGTATGAATCTTCCGATTCGCAACGGCCACAGTCAGCAAGCCTCTACCCACTTTCACGAGCCTCAATATTCGGAGTCTCGAGCCACTGGGCCCGCGTCCGATCAACCGACGTCTCCACTGAGCCGCGAGCCCGACGAAGAGCCTCTCATGCCGACCCAGCTCAAAGCCAAGGTCAACTTTGATGACAATTACGTGACCTTGGTCATCGCCAGTAACATCATGTTCCGATCGCTTACTGATCGGGTGGATGCCAAACTGGCCCGGTTCACCAATCGATCCATCGGCAATAAGTCGGTAAGGTTGCGCTACCGCGACGAGGACGGAGACTTTGTTACGATTGACAGCGACGAGGCTGTCCAGCTCGCCTTCATGGAATGGCGCGAGCAACATCGGGATATGCTTGCGAAGGGCCAAGTAGGGGAGATTCAACTCTACTGCCAAGTGGTTGAGAATTAGACTCGATAGAGCTAGAGCATTGGCTTGCTCTGCACATGTTTGTCTTTGCCTTTTTTTTTTTTGTTTTTTTCCCTTGGTTTTTTCCTCGAATTGTCCGTTGCCTGTCTTCCATTGATGTGGGAGAAAATGGCAGCAGGACGGATTATATTCCCTGGATTTCTCGGCCTTCCATTGTCTCCCTGGATTTCCCAGCTCATCCCCCAACTGGATTGGCTTGAGGCTGTCAAGATGACAATCTTGAAACTTGCAGGCAAAGTGGGAATCAACTCCGTTGCATTGTCCTGTGTTGATCACAATGAAGAGCGATATTTACCATCTACTCCCTATGCTCAACCATATCTGCCCCTGATTTTATCCACGGGGGGTACTCTCCCCAGGTCGAGGAGATCTTGATCATGACTTGTTCTATCTTTTTGCCACGTCCATGAACCATGACTGCATGATGTATGTTATACCGCTGTGTTTTCTTCGTTTTCCTCCTTTGAGCAGACAGTTTCTTCCAGGTTATCGAGAGACAAGATGTACAGTGGTTTTCGTTTTAGGGCTGGTTCTTTGTCTTCTATTTCAACTCACATTTTCCATTGAGCAGAAGCGGCACATTTGCATTCTAGTCTGGCTTTTTCCGTTCTTTTTTCTTTTTTCGAGTAAGGAGCTTTATTGGAAAAGTCCAGTAATTATCCTATACTACAAGTCCGCTAGTAGTTGTAGCGATTCTCGACGTAGAGCTAGACAGGTAGCCATATACTATGTATCGATCACAGCTTCTTGGACATTATTCAAAATTCTGTACTCAAACTTCAACATCATCATTCAGCAGATTCCTACGGAGTACCCCTGAACCTTTGTTTGAAGTGAAGAGTAAGTAAGATCACGACGAGGAATTGTGGACCCATATGGAGCCTGGACATTATCAATTTAGCCTCAGAGAAGTAATAGCTAGTCTCCCACCTCTCTCCATCGTCGACCAAGACCCCAAATGTGCAACCACAACGACCACGCCGAATCTTGGGAGTCAAGTCGAGTTAATTTGGGTACGCGTTCTCCCTGTAAGGATGCCAGAGCTATCAATTATCATCTAGATACATAATCCTCTCGCCAGCAGCCCGCATGGACAGTGCAGCGACGCTGGAGCCGCCATCATCCAGAATCCCCATTTCGCGATGGGGCAGGCGGCTGCTTAGCTGATAAGGTCGGGTAGAATCCGAACTGTTCGTGTGGCGCCCAACCGTTTCCAGACTCGTCAATTGGGATTGAAGATCGGGCTGGACTGCCTGATCAGCCTTGAAGGAACGGCGGTCTGTTGCTGTATGAGGCATTTTCTGTGTCTCTATCATCTAGTTTCTTTTTAGAGAGTTGATGCTGGCTGGCATGTGTTCACTTCGTAATGGACGATGTCTTTAGCAAGCGAAGAAGATTCTTCTTCCTGGCTTGAGAGTTGAGTCTTCATCTGTAGGTCTGAGAGAATAAGGAATATCCATATAGAGGGGTTGAGGTTTTCATGTATGCGGAAAGCGAAATCGGCGGGTGAATGAGCCGGAGATACTCTGTTTCATCGCAGGAGGCCTAATTTAGTGATGGATAGAGTGATGCCTATCGTCGCCTTTTCAAAAGGCAATCTGGTAGACTAGACGGCGTGGCCCCCCCAGGAACTGAAGTATCTACGAGGCATCAATCCTATCTAAACTCTGGCCGATGGATAATAACTTCTGTAATATGGTTCCGCTGGCAGTCTCCGATTTAGTAGGAGGAGAAACTTGGAGTAGAGCGGGGTTTCCCTTATCCCAAATTTTTTTCGCTTTTTCTGCCTTTCTTCTTGAAATCCTATAAATAAATATAATTGAATCCTCTGCTCTATGAAGGAGTAGAAGGATTGCTATCAACAATAGACCATCATCGTCACTTTTGTTTCATGAACACCTTTGTGTCCTCTACGAAATAATTACAGCGTCGCCAAGAAGGATCTACATTCCTCGCATACTATACATACTGCCATATCAGGACAGGCCTGCTGATAGTCTACGAAAATGTCGTTCTCCGGGCGTCGCTTGAGCATTCTGCGTCCCTCTAACCGGCGGTTCTCCCTTGGAAAGGAATTGTCCGAGAATGGTGCGTGTCTCATCTGTATACTTGCGGCTTGGCCTTGAGGAAAATACCTAGAAGCTGAAGGCGTTACGGACTTTTGTCCCCACAAGCTTCCTACAAAAAACAACAGCGCTGACAAACTGGACCTCTGCAGAACTTCGTTCGGAAACCCATCGTCAGTTCAGAGCCGCCCATGAGGGTCACCGTCCCCACGCCGGTCTCGATGCTTCCCGTGCCTCGACGGGTGTCGTCTGGTGTACAGAACGTGCAGTAGAACACGGATACGCCGAGGATCCGTCGGGGTGGGCGAACCTGGGCCAGGGCGCCCCCGAAGCCGACGATGAGATCGAGGGAAGCTTTCCCCGGCCTACCAGTATCCCCATCACATCCGCTGCCCGCGAATACGGTCCTACCGCTGGTATCAAGCCTCTGCGCGCGGCAGTTGCCAGACTATACAATGAGCATTACCGTCAAGGAAAGGAAAGCCAGTACACCTGGGAGAATGTCTGCATTGTCCCGGGTGGTCGAGCGGGACTGATTCGAATTGCAGCCATTCTGGGCAATTCGTACTTGTCTTTCCCTATTCCCGATTACTCTGCCTACTCGGAGATGTTGACACTATTCAAGAACGTGAGTAATCCATGCCTATCGCATTGCCGCGCCCCTGCGCTCTGGAGCTGTCGGTCGAGAACGGTCACTCACGAGCATTATCCTACATAGATCGCACCTATTCCCATTCCTCTCGCCGAAGATGACCACTACCATATCCACCCCAACAAGATTGCGGAGGAGATTGCTCGCGGAACTTCTGTCCTCTTGACATCGAACCCCCGTAACCCTACCGGACACTTTGTTTCGAATGACGAACTTGCCCAGATCCAGGACATTTGCAGAGACCGCGCAACGCTCATTCTGGATGAATTCTACGGTGGCTACAACTACACCACCGACTGTGATGGTTCGACGATCAGCGGTGCCGCCAACGTCGTCGATGTCAACCAAGATGGTTAGCCAACCTCTGCCCTTCATTCGGTTGGATCAGCACTATCAAGAGAACTGTGAAGCTAATTCTGACAGATGTTCTTCTGATCGACGGTCTCACCAAGCGCTTCCGTCTCCCCGGCTGGCGTATCGCCTGGATCGTCGGTCCCAAGGAGTTCATTGATGCACTGGGTTCCGCTGGCTCCTACCTGGACGGAGGTGCCAATGTGCCATTCCAGGAGGCTGCCATCCCTATGCTCGAGCCTTCCCTCGTGCGCACGGAAATGAAGGCGCTGCAGCGGCACTTCAGGGAGAAGCGTGACTACGTCCTGAAGCGACTGCACGAGATTGGTTTCCGCGTCAAAGATGTGCCCCAGGCCACCTTCTACATTTGGCTCGACCTGACGTCCCTCGAACCACCTCTCCCCAAGGAGGCCAATATTTCTGACGGACTGAACTTCTTCAATGCCCTTCTGACCGAGAAGGTCATTGTGGTCCCTGGTATCTTCTTCGATTTGAACCCGGCAAAGAGAAGAGATCTGTTCGACAGCCCTTGCCATCATTTCGTTCGCTTGAGTTATGGACCAAAGATGGATGTCCTCAAGATGGGTCTGGACGGCATCGAGAGGGTGATCCGGCGTGCTCGTGGAGAAGCCGTTGAGCTTCGGCCTCAGATTGATCCTCAGTGGGAGGATGAGGTTGCCGTGTCGGATTAAGCGGTTTCATCGATTACCTGTCAAGCTCGTTATCCTTGTCGTTTCCTCGTTCGCACACGTAGAACATTTTTAAGAGGCCTCCGTTACGAATTTGGGTAAATCAGCATAGATAGATATCACATTGCAGATTATGGCTCACCCTAGCTGAAAGAGAGTAATCGAGTATCATCCACTGGATTCATTCTGTTCCTGTGCAACGAGCACTGTTTCTTCTCCTATTTCGTATCACGTGACATTGAGGTGGGATCACGACCGTGGATGATGATCTTCATTCAATCTTCCATCATCCATGTCCTCGAACTTTGAGATTCAATGAGGGCGAGAGCTGCGCAGCGCAGTACTCTGCGCCCATGACTATGGTCCTGAACTTGTACCGCGTTCTAAACTATGCTGCCTTCACTTTCTTTTCCGTACTCCTAATCTGCCTAATAATACTCACACCCGCCGACGCGATCTACCAATGCTATAAAACGCACCGACTCACCAACATCTTCTTCATCACCGGTGCGTACGTGGCAACATTCATCCTTGCAGCGCTCATATATGCGACACGGATCTACACGAATCGTACCGCCCTATCTGCCATCCCCAAAGCATGGATTCCTGTCGAGAAGGAAGATGTCGGAAAGAGCGTCCGCCGGCTCGTAGTGGAGGGACTCGCCCGCAGTGCGATCATCGCCTATCAGGCGCGGCCGAGGGATATATCGGCAGACGGGGACAAATTCGCTGACTATCCAAAGCTTGTGGTGGATCGCGACCAGCCGCCCTGGGGTAAGGTCGAACATCCAGGATGGTCGTCTCCTTCGTCGCCTGACCTACCGGACCTGCCGTATCGTGCTGTTGTGCAGGAACTACCGCATCTGATCGAGGCCAAGGCGGTGTCCCTTGCGCCTCCGGATCCCTTTCTGTCGGCTGCCGCCCATCATCGGTTCGATCCCTCCCTCTCCGATCGTGGACAGTCAGTTCCAGATACGCGAGTTGTGGAAGTACTACGGAGACCTGTGTCGATGGGATTGCGGGAGTATATCCAGCATCTTACGGCATTGAACCTGGTCAATCCCCCAGAAATTGGCGCGGAGTTTCTGGCTCACTACGAACGGGCCCGGTTTTCGTCTCGCGAGCTCCACGAGGATGAATTCAGGGAGCTGATGCACGTCTTTGCGGGCGTCTTGCGCGGGATGACATACCTGGATGCTCGAATACTGGATGACATCAGAGGAGGAAGTTCTCGCGGTGACAGCGAGTCCCTAATTGGACCCTCCGATGAAGAAGGCGAGACGGATACTATGGAGTTTTTGGATGATAGCGACGCGCTGTCTCTTCGCCGTAGCAATAGCTTGCAGCCTTCGGTCGCCTCGTCGACCTGGGAGAGCCGCTCGGTATATACTGCGCCTACGGCGCAGAGTCGTGGATCGCCGGTCGCATCCAGACATCACGACCGGTATCGCACATTGGGCCCTCCCCGGACGCCTTCGACCCGATCGCTCAGGCGCGTGCAGTCGAATGTCTCGGGCAGTTCGTCGGGGGGCAGTGTCATTCACTTGGTAGATCCCCGCGGGCCGTCGGATCTGCCCTATGCTTACAACTTGGATACTACAAATAGTAGATAATGAGTTTTTTTTTTTGGTTGCAAGAAACTAAGTGCCTAAATTTTGGTCCTGATTCCCTGAAAGGTAGCCAATGCTGCTGATGCTCTTCCACATTCTCTGGCCGTGGTATGTACATAGCCGTGACGTAAGCCAATCGGAGATGCGGCACAGCTTCGTCCTCCGTACCTGAGAATGAGACACACGTAGTTTCCACTTGCCGGTCTTTTTTCCGTTCTTGGCATAAGAGTAACGTAATCTTGATAAGATCTGATTTTGATCAGATCAAATCATCTGAAACAATTGCCTTGTTGCATGCAACCTGCGCACTTTTGATTCAAAACAAGCATGCAGGCTCTTCTCCGCCGAGGCGCCTCGCTATTTGGCTCGACGCCATCCGGCTCCCCCAAGGCGAGCGGGGATTTCGATGAGTTCCGCAAGGCGCCGTCGCACGATGTGTTGTTCCCCAAGGTCGACCCGGCTGTTGATGGAGAGGAATGTCTCCACGACTGCGCGTCGTGTACGGTGAAGTACCCCGCCAGGTTCGACGTGGACTACGAGGATGAGCTCTACGGGCACGTCAACGGATGGGCGACGCATCTGCTCGTCGCGACCGGGAAGACAGACTGGGTGAGGGATGTTGCGGACGAGAAGGGCAGTCTGATGGAGGCGATCGAGAAGGGGGGACTTGTGCCGAGCAACGGGGTATGTCATCGTGCATTCAGCAATTCACGGAAGAGTCTTGCTAATGTGTACTGGTAGAATCTGAAGCTGTCTGCGTCCAACATGCCCGTGCCGGACGAGTATCACCACCACGAGCCCGGCGAGCAGCCTACGACCGTCCTGATCCTGCCCGCCTTCACGGTGGTGGAGCAGGTGACTCCGGCTCTTGCGCCTGACCTCATCAAGTACTTTGTCAGCCGCGCGCCGACAACCACCACACCGCTCGGAAGCATTCCGGAGCCTCTGACAGAGCCAGAAAGCGAGGAGCAGCAGGCCGCCCCAGTGGATATCAGCTCGCTGACTCCGCTGCGGTCCCGGCCCTGCGGCCATGCGGCCGTGATCCTTCTCTGCTCGCAGCGCACCCGGGACGCGCGCTGCGGGCAGTCCGCCCCGTTACTGCGGCGCGAGTTCGAGCGCCATCTGCGGGCCCTGGAGCTGTACCGCGATCTGAACGATGAGCGGCCCGGCGGCGTGGGTATCTACTTCATCAGCCACGTTGGGGGGCACAAGTACGCGGCGAATGTGATTGTTTACCGGCGGCGGGACTTTGAGTGGTATCGCAAGGAGAAACCGGGCCAGGATGCGCAAGGGAAGACGACCGGTGAGGCGGACGAGGGTGCGGCGCAGGGCATCTGGCTGGCGCGCGTGCGGCCGGAGGACTGCGAGAATATCGTCAAGTATACGGTCCTGCAGGGGAAGGTGGTCAAACCTGGGCTGCAGCTTCGGGGTGGGTTTGATCGCGAGCGAGGGAAGACTAGCTGGTAGACTACGAGGGAACCCTTTTCTTGTGGGGTAGATTGTAAGTAACTGTGATGATATCATGACATTGATGCATATAGAATATGGCACATCTCAACCCTTCTCAAGAGAGAGAAGTGTTTACAAAGTATCTGCATATCAGTTATACTGTGAAAGGGTGCACTGTGCTGTTAATGATGCTATGTGTGATTGCCAGTATGGCATAGCAATCAATCGCAAAGTACCACATACTATGTCCATGGCACCCCCACGCTGCAATATCCCACTACCCCAGAGTATACTGTATTCCACAATCTTCACTCAGATTGGGTAATACAGTATACAGCATCCGTACCGAGTACGGAGACATACGCCATCAAACATGGGGTCATGATCATTAATCATAATCAGAGTCTCCCCCGTATCATCCAGACCAGACCAGATCGAGGAAAATGAGCCTCGACCTCACTCACCTACTCAAGGAAGTCAAGAGAAGCCAGAGAGTCCCGCCCCCCTCCCCAAATACGAGCTCCTAATATAACTAAACTAACTAACAGTCCCAGTCAGTTGCGGGCCCCACGCCCCATTCCAAAGTCCAAGTCCAACAGCCAGATTACCTGCCATGACCAACACCAACCCAAGCCCCATCGCGCGGATCTCTCGTTAAAATTTACTTAAAAGAGGTTAGCCCGGAAAGTTCTTTGAGAGTTGCCCCATTCAGTTCAGCGAGATTACTATCTGCTGAGTGATGATTCGTTCACAATCGTTTGGCCATGAACACTGGGGCCCTAGGTTCATGAGTACAGTGCCTAGGTTCTTGAGTCATGAATTGTGATCATCTACAAGGAGTTGACTTACTTAGGTAAGGTAAGATTGGACTTGAGTATCCATATTCCGTAAAGAGTGTTGGGTAGGTGCCGTGGCTATGGCTATGGCCACAACTCCACAAGATTTAGTCTACGGGTTATTGGATGATGAAATCGAATAAAGCATAGCATACCGTTATTGGTGCATCTAGACGACGGATGGATTTGACAAATGAGATGCAATTTGCAAACTTGCCTGTAAATAGTCGTACGCAGATAGCAAGCAAACTTTCCATAGTAGTACAGACATGTTGTGGAAGAACGGAGCCTGAGGCGGGAAGGGAAGCTAAGTGTCTACCTTACCTTACCTTAACCTTAGGCATTCACTGAGTATGACACTGCCGTGCTCTGATTGGACAGTGGGTTGTGCCACAATATTTTTCAACCTTGACGAGGACACAGTACCTATTCAAGGCACCTTACTTTCTGGACTATGGTCTTCCAGTATGGTCATTTGGACATAGTCTCCAAGCAAATTCCATTTGCAACACGGAGCAACACTTCTAATACTTGCTGAAGAGGAAGGAGAGTAAGGAGACTCTGGCACACTGCAATATCAGGATCTAGGACCAGGGAGCTCATTTGCCTACCAAAGTTTAAACGGCCCGTTGCACACAAGTCTTCAAAGTGGAGCGGACGGCTAGACGGATTCGTGTTACAATACTTGACTTGTGTGACTGTCCACTGTCAATTCATTGTATTGTGTAACCCTCTCGCCTTGTTTGGGCTTGGAGGGTCGTACAACATTGATACCCCGGGTGGGATGGATTGGAGGTACAGCAAGGAATCAAGGATAGAGTCAGGCAGCAATAGTTAGACTCAGTCATACAAGAAGCTTAAGGTGTCCGATTGAGTAAGCTTAATCGCTAACTTTTCGATCACCAGGAACTCGATTCTGGTTCATAATGGAAGTTAAAAGGTTAAGGAGAGGTGCAGATGGAGAAGTGAGCAGTCCATTAATGCCATCACTCATCAAATACTCCGTAGTCGTCCACATGGCCGCATGTAGACGTCTCATCTCATAGCGAATCCACTTACCCTGCCTGGAGTACATAGGCGGATGTTACTCGGTGGAACCCGCCAAAGGCCAATCCATTCTGTGCGCAGTGCAGACCGCAGTGCAGATTTGCCTCCTTTCTGGACCCTGTATCAAGATTGAAAGTGGGTAAACGTCTTCAACTGTATCGTTCTGGAGTGACTTCGAATTCTCCACCTTAGCGTAAAGGGACGGTCTAAAGACACCAATCCTATAGGGTGGAATGATGAGCCCCTAAAAAGAGCCCAGCAGATATGAGGGAATTTACTTTGTGGTTACCGAGAGTACGCCGACGACGATAACGAGCCCAGCCATAGATGTGAAAAGCAAAGCTGGGCATTTTTTAACCGTCACATTGGGAATCCGCGACTCCAGTAAGCCACAAGATCATCGCGAAGACGACGCAGACCATTAAGGTAACGAAAGACGAGATATCTTCGCGATGCACGGCAGTTCGTCTGCTGGCTGGTTCCACCTATGGTGTATTCCAGGAATCGTCCTCGTCTGAAGCTGTAGGGGCAGATTGGCCGTGCATAACCGTCTGCAGAGTCAACTCAAATCTCAGTTGCCACCTCGAAAAGTCAAGTTCACCGGACTTCGCTGCGAAATGGTGGAAGCACTCCGACTAGGTACTCCGCCTTATGTACCTACGAGATACAGGCTGGAGAAGCTATATGCGCATCTCTACAGCAAGTACCCCAGAGGTACTCCGGAGATGCACCGGTGATTCAATCTCCTCCGCAAGGTGGCAAGACAGTTCAAGCACAAGCAGGCCATAAGTTTCGCACTGCGAGTTTTCGCCTATCTGGACCTGAGTTAGCTTTAACCTTTTGGCGGAGATGTTCGGAGAAGAATCATCGGCCTTCGCCGCCGGGGAGTACTTTGTCTCTTGGGTCTGTATATAGAATCAGCAACTTTTGAGTTTGATTATCGAAGTGTATGAGGTGGATGTTGGCCACTGTATGGAGTAGGTACGGGGTATGTATGTAAACAATTTGTATACGTACCGTACCACGTACACAGCATAAACAGCCCCGTACATTTTGTAATACCAAAGACACATGTTACACAAGTCAGCCGTCAAATAACATTGTGGGTCACAACAGGCAAACCCATGGAGCCGGCTTGGAGTTTAAGTGGTAGGACCCGTCCCCGTACAAAGCTTAGAGTCAAGCTGTCCTGAACCTTGATATGTGGGCTCGCAGGATCACAGAGTTGGAGATCATCAAACTTACAACTCGGTCGTGGCCAGTGCATGGCCCAAGCTCTTGCACTCTATCCAGATCAGAGTTCAGGGAATTGGTGGTAACCGGCAAGAATGCTTCAGTCTGCTCGATCATCAGAAGCAAAAAGGTAAATAGCAACAGGTGGTTCTGCACTCATTGTTGATTCGATGATTTCGAGTCCCCAAAAACCCAAAGTTCGTAACGCCTCCAGGAAAGCAAACTTTACTTCACTTTGTGCTATTTGCCCGTGTGTCAGCGTGTTACCTGTCCATTTTCATGTCTTTTGTTTCGTCTTGGCCGATATTCCCACGCGCCGGAATTGTCCGACAGTCCGAGTCCCTGCATGAGGTGTTGAGATTAAGCCAGTGAGAAAGTACGAAGTAGCCAATGTAAACATGGCACACAGGAGACAGGTGGATGCTCAGCATAACGTTCGGTAGCTATGAGCTAGGGAGCGATCAGCTATGCGGTACGAAGTACAATAATCAGTATCAAGTGAAACAGCATCCCCGATCCTTGGGGTCAGCTAGTAGCCTCGTTAACCTCACCGAAACAATTCAATTCAAGGCTCCTATAACTTGATTGTTCCCTTGTGGATTGTTAAGTCGAGGTGGCCGCTGTCGTCCCGTACCTTAATAAAGCGCTCCTTAATTTTGCACAAGCTAGGCAAGATAGTCGCCGGTCGAGTATTCAACTGTATCTCCGCCTCAATTATACAGGGTGGATACGTCAATCCAGCATGAAGGTTGGTTTGGAGAGAGCCAGGGGGAAATGATCAAGAAAAGGATACGGAGTACTTACTGGAATGTTAATGTCCAACAAAGACTAATATTGCTCGAAACCGTCTAGCCTCATTCTGACACGAACAAGCTTACCTAAAGTTTTCCTGGCCAGGTGGCTGGGACCCCGGGTATTGCGATGATAACCAAGAGATCTGTTGCAGCTTCAAAGAATCAGTGGAACACGCAATCAGAGTACGGAGACCATTCTACTTATATTTTTAGACCACTACTGTTCAGAGCCTCGCGATCAGGATGATAACTCTTACAAAATCAGCGTGAGAGTTGAAGCTATTCTACCTGCATACGGGACTCCAACTGAACATCCTACAGTCGACACTCGTGATCGAGGAAAACAGTGCATTAGGCGCCTTCTGGCTGACATGGAGTACCTAGCAAAGTTTATTCAACTTATCATAATAAGCAAGGTTCAAGCGCAGGAATAGTTTGCAGGTCTTCTTGACGCAAGGTAATCACAGTAAGATATCACAAACACTGACAGCTTACAGTAAGTACCAGTTAGTTTAGTAGCTATGGCTAATAAAGGAGCGCTGAGTAGCTGATAACCCCGCGATTTCTGTTGCGCCCCAAGGCAACCACAGCTGCAGCTAGCTGTCAGCTCCGTCTGTGCTAGCAGCATCCTTTCTCGTGTCGACGATGAGTCGGGACTCGGGAGCGAATGAGACTCGACTTCCAATCTCTTGGAACCCCATGACAGCATAGTCCTTGCTGACAGAAATAGCTGAGCTCAATACTCCGTCTTCTATAGTCACTCTGACTCTGAAGTCAGGTGTAGACATACGTAACATGTTGTACTTGATGGCGTGCGCTACTTCGTAATGGTGTGAGATACATTGATCACCCTAATCCCCGTCCACACTGGAGACCGCTAGTTATCTCCGCATGGATTCTAGGCCTTCACGTCGTACAAAGTCCGATTTTAGGGCCTTAGACCCCGTACGGATAGTCGGATAACCCAAACGTCTCCTGTCTTCAACAAGCTCGATGACCTGTCTGTTTGATTGTTGTGGGAAGAATCTCTTGGCTCAAGATCCTAGTCGAACTGAAACAGCTGGTAGGAGCTACCTTAGACTAAAGTCACTAATTAGTTATGATTATGAATGATATCTGGTATTTTTCGAGTCAAAAATTGATACCTGGGCTGTACACAAAAAAAGTATCGCCGCGTGGAATCCCACTTATCCCCGCCACAAGTGGCACAAAATGTCAATAATATAATAAAAGAAGCAAGCAACGGCGGATAAGTCATCAACCCTTTACACACCCTTTAGCCAAATGGTAATTCCACCCGGTATCTAAGTACTGCACAGTGCTCGGTGATTGTTTCATTATGGCTGACTCAGTCAACATTAATGCCTCACTCCCCTCCATCGGCACATCCTTGTACTAGACTAACCCCCGAATCTACTAGCGTCCGTTGTTCGAAATTGGTACCTCTTTGGCTCTTGCTGTCATTCTCGGGCTCCCCTCTCCCCTGGAAATAACGGAATGCCATTCATTTCCCCCCTCCCGTCGCATACCAGAGCATCTCATCTCTCCGGGTCCTTTATCCGGAAATATCAGGGAAGGGACGAGGAACAGCACCATGTACTTCTTCTCCCCTCTCTTCATTTCAGGTAATCTATGCGAACCCGCAAATCATCTACATATCAGACCGCACAGTGTCGAAGTATATACTTGGCCGACCATTGCCAGATGATATGTGCCGTCGATCGTGCAAGCCACAGTGGTGGCGGCCAGGTATCTAACCTACCTTAGCTTCTTAGGTAGGTTTTCCGTTAGACACTGGCTGGAGTCCTGGATATCGGATTCCGAATTTAATTGGCCGTCCCTACCCCCCACTATGGAATGGAATTCGCAGCAGATAAAGTATCAAGCAGGAAAAGACTTGGCCTTTTTTAATGGCGAGCCACAAGGGTAACGATAAAAACATTGACATGAGTCGTCATTGTGCATTCTGAAACAAATCCCTCTCTAACCAGAGAAAAAAAAGGGAACAATTAGTCTGTCTACTTACATGACACTAAGTGAGAGCCACAAAGCGTTCCCGATACGTCGATCCTTGGCTGACATTGCCCGTCTATGGCAGGTGGAAACTGGAAATAAACCTCGCGACTTGCGACCTTTTTCGAAGAGGCCCCACATGACTCGGAGTCTCTGGCGATTCACTTAGTAATAATGTAAGAAGCCCCTGGAAGAGAAGGAAACAACTTGTGGCTCAGGACAAGGTACCAGAAAGGTAAAAAGGTAAAAAGGTAAAAAGGTAAAGAGAGAGGTGACGCTCTGGAGTTCGACGTCGCGCCTACCAAGTAGCGCTTTCACGCGCTCAACTTTCTAATGTCTTATTTGCTGGCTTCGATTCATTTACTGGATTGGCTCGAGAAGTCATCTTGAACCCAGTAACTGTACTAGGTACCTAGGAGTAGGGTAGTATGTATTAGTAGTAATAGGATTGGACGGTGGACTTGAATTTGGAGAGCCACAGTAGAGAAGGGACAGGGTTAGCGCAAAACTTAATTTGCGGCATCATGGCAAGTATGGTATCAATAAGGACAGAACGCCTCTCCAGCCTTTTAAATCGGGTAATCAAACGCAAGACAGAATCGCCAGGGCTAAAATCAAGTGTACAGCAAGGGAAGTCCGAGCGCACGTGGAAGACAATTACTCGATATCTTGAAAAACAGCTCGCATCGAAGAAGAATCCATGATAGCGTCGTGGTCGGCATCACAGGACGTGCACAGGAAAAAGGTTGAGATTGCTGATCAATATAGGCGCAAAGGCATTGGGAAGAGCAGATGCCTGGGGTATATGTGTTGCAATATATCAAAAACGTGATGGTGAGAGTCCATTTGCAATTCCAGGGTCAAGTTCGAGACCACATCAACCTACTCCGAGGAAACCCCAATCTGTTCCTTCAGGTTGATTCAGGATTCGTGTCGGTTGTTTATAGTGAAAATTCTGATTATATGAAATCATGAGAGGGTGCCCTTCAGCCATAGGCTGCGCAACAAATGTTTGCTGCGGCTGCTGCTGCTGGAACCCGGGTGGTATATAGCTCTGGTTGGTTGTATCGTACCGCTGCTGCATAAGCTGCTGCATGTACTGCTGTTGCGCGTGCTGTACATCAAGCGGTGACGTGACAGGGACACTCTGGGTCATCATTGGCGGCGTATCGTGTACTGGGATATGAGTCACAGGCAGACTTTGTTGTGGATAAAAGTCCTGACTTGGCGTCGACGGCTGATGGTAATACTGTTGCTGAGCAAGAAGATACTGGTCGTTTGGAATTGGAGCGGCGACTGGGGCCTGGTAGGATTGCTCCGACATCGCATCCTCAGACGGCGGTCTGGTCATTGTTCCTGGCGGGTGGGAACGGTGTTGATGCTTGGTTAAAGTGGTCTTACGGCAGAAGCTGGTCCAGAATGTTAGAGAGTCTTTGCAGTGGTCGGTGCACGAACAAACTTCTTACCTTCTTTCGCATGTTGGTTCCTGGCAGATGTAAGGTCGCTTGCCAGTGTGAATCCGCCGATGGCGGGCTAAACTTGATGACTGCGTATTCGGCAATTAGCAATAGTTTTGAAAGCAATGCCCAGTATCAGTCTACTCACATCGGAGAAGGCCTTGTGGCAGCCTTCATGATCACAGACATGAGGCTTCTCGCCAGTGTGTGTCCTTGAGTGTACAGTCAACGCGCTGCGCTGAATGAAACTTTTGTTGCAGTCCTTGACGGTACAATGATAAGGTCGCTCATTGGTATGTATCCGGTAGTGTCTGCAGAGATCGGATTTACGGTTGAACGACTGAAAACAATATCAAAACCATTGGTTAGCGCGAATGGCTTCGTAATAGCTGCTGGCATCAAGGTCTCCAACAAAACGGGAACGAACTAGGGCGGCAAAACAACTAATAAGAAATAGAGCGAAGCCCACCTTTCCACAGTGCTCCCAGGAACAATTGAAGTCACGTCCAACACCTGGGGCCATGGTTGTTGCGACGGAGCGATATGACTTTGGTAGATATGCAAACTAAATGCTGAGGACCAGATATGATAGAGATAGGCGGAGCGATGGTTCCAAGTTGAAATTGTCAAGGGCAAACTCGGAAGTGGGGAGATAAGCAGCACTGGCAGAGCGAGGACGATGTGTTAGGGGGGCTTATGCGAGGGAGATAAATGTCACAGATCCTGAGGTGGGGACAAGCATGGAGAGAGTATCCCAAGTAGTGAAGCAGAGAATGAGGCAGTTGAAAAGAGATCTGCCTGGGAGACGCAATAACAGATCAAAGACGGACAAGGGGCACAAAGAATGAAGAATAATGCTAGAAGAAGCAGTATCAACCAAAGGCTGCAGATACTCCTCGGGTTTGATGACTTGAAAGTTAAGCAGTCAAGACTGAATCAAGAGAAGTTCCAAGAAACGATTGCCCGATGCGCTCTGACGATACAAGCAGAAGATGATGGGCTGATGGCGAGATTGGATGGGACGATGCTTTCGATTCTAGGTTGAAGCATAATATGAGAAAAGTGCTGTGATAGCGGTAGGTAGTGCTGGTGGTGGTAATAGTTGATATTATATAGTCGAACAATAACAAATAGAAGACATTAAGGTGTCTGGTCGGGTGGAGTTGTAACGCACTGGTGATACGGGCGGGTGTGCCTTCTATGCTTCAATATCACTGAGGGACAGCTGTCAAGCCAGGCAGACCTGAAGATAAACAGGCACTCCAAAACAATCGATATAACCGCACTGGAATACTCAAAAAGGATAAGAGAATATCCAGATATCGGATGGAAAGGGGGAGGTAATAAGGAAAATGGGTGAGAATAAGAGGGAGTGAAAATCAAGAGGAAGTGAGGACGATTTTCAGTGTCCGAATTCTTAATTATCGTTTCTATTTTATTTTATTTTATTTTATTTCATTTTATTTTTATTTTTATTTTTTTCATTTCCGATCGGTTTTATTTCCTAGTGAGCAGGACGTACAGCATGTATTTTTATCAATAGGTAATAATGCACATCAAAATAATATTATTATTATTAGTGTACAAGTTGCCTTTAGAACCCATAGGTACCTCAGACCAATAACGAACTACCATTAACCAAGGCTACCTAAGTGGACAATTAGACTTGGCAATTTCCCCCGGAAGGCTGGTGGCCGCTAGTAAGAAGGACTTCAGCAAGTCTCGAGTCAGCCATACTAAGGTACGGACCACGGCGTAGTCGATAGATACCCTTGTAGGTACTGCGATAGTATGACTTGGATATTAAGGTAATATGGAACAATGGTACCAGAACACAGAGGAAGACGATGGCGGAAACAGCCTACGAGGAGCAGTTACTTAGCTTGAACGTTTTTACAGGAACATTACCATACTCTACAAAGTAGGCCCGAGGAGAATGACAAGGCTGGGGTAGTCCAGTCCGTCCATACTCCGTAGTCAGGGTCCTGAATATTGACCTTGTATTGTCGTTGTACAGGTCGTAGAAAGGAAGCAAAAAAAAAAGGAACAGAACAATGATACACGAATCCCAGGTGTCGACATCCTTTTAGATACTCAATGAAGATGGTCTTACAGAGGTTGATTGCCTACAGGCTACATCCTATGTAACTCACTTTGAGGTACTTCGCTGTATCCTTGTACCTCATGATAAATGCACCCAAATACCATATCAGGAAACACATGATAGTGACACCCATAGTTTCAGAGGGACTAAAGACTGCGGTGGGAGGTTAAGTACGGGACACTATATTAGTAACTTTATCATTCCAGTAACTTATTCAAGCTGCTTCGTGGGGCCCGACCTAGGCCCAGATACGTTTACCACTCTAGTCTCTACAGAGTACTAGCGCCGTGAACATTAAGGGCTCTTAAGTGCTACTTCTCCTAAGGGTGTTAAACTAGACTAGATACTGAACAGTGTTCCGGTCAATGTTATTTGGCGGGGATCGGAGGTATCCACCCGGGTTCCCAATACCGGCCTAGACCCTTTACAGACTAGGTGACAGAGTACAGTATTAGTCAATGGAGAATGGTGGCTTGTTAGGAGCAATAAATTCGGGTCAAATGGCAGCTGGCCTTGGAAGAGACTTGAGCTAGTGCAATTAAGGCCTAGTCTTGCTGCGTGGCGCAATACAACCTACTTGATTGTCTGATTCACTTGTATTGTATGCACGGTAAGATTTCCAATCCATCCATGGACAGGAGGTTTCGACGATAATACGAATCTTACCTATGTAATTACTGATAGGACGGATGCTTGGTAAACTTCTGGCTCTGTTGATGAGGCTACTATTTCCATACCCCAGGGTGACTAGACTGAGTCATGTATGGCCTTAATGATCATAAGATGTTGTAATAAGGTTCAATTAAACAGAAGAGGGGACTAATTAGCTTGTTCGACCACTTCGGAAGGCACGTAAATATGTATGGAAGTAGCAGGGTCTATCTAGGGACGAGTACATCAGGTATCCATTCTTGCTGTCTGTACCACCCAGTCAACCCCCCTAAGCACTTAGTACCTTGAAAGTCTTTCCATAATCCATACTTATGCACCACCTTAGGAATGCTTGGAGTCAATCTCCCTCTAGCGGATAAAGGAAGCTAGCTTGTCAGCTTGTGTCAAGCTCCATCCAGTGCGTCCTTACAGGAGAGCTACCTAGGTGATTATTGTTGCTACTCGTCAGCAGGCACGCAGTATGCAATACAAAAGCCAGCCCGAGGCGACTGTAATCGCAACTACTATGTTTGAAGCAGTCGCAAAGAAAGGTCGAGAACGAGAAAGAGCAGACATTGGCAGTGCCCGCAAGGGATAAAGGATGGCCTTTCTGACATGACTATGAAGAAGAGATCGGCATCATTTCCGGGAATTTGCGAGTAATAGGAATAACTTATCTGCCTGCTTACTCGACTAAGGTATTTCTGGGTATCAGTATCGCCATTGTACCCGCGAATCAACCGCGTTCTCTATTGCGTGGCTTCGATAGTGAAATGGGAGCTTAAATCTGACCGTCCTGATTCTGTAAAGGAGCAGGTTTCATACTGCATAACATTCAACACGTGGTTTATCGAGATATCGAGGATTGGTGTATCAGGTATCGTATGGAGTTTACCGATGTCTTCGTTGATGTCGGTCAGATGGAAAAAGGTCTTCGCATTACCGAATGGCCGACTCTTACATGGCCCAAGGTTACTGTGCCGACGCCATATGATCTCGCAAAATCGTATGTTTTCGACTTTTGATCAGAGGATCCAGTTGGTGTAGGGGCCAACTGTTGGGGCCGTTGAGGGCATGCTGCCCATCTATTTGAAAGTAAAATAGAAAGAAAAAGAAAGAAGCTTGTTAGAGTTGGACTGGTCGGGAGACTGGATACAGGCATCATATGTTGGAAAACCTCACTCATGCCTGAGGGGATGATACATCTCAGCTCCATCAGTGGAAAGTTCTCCCTTCCTGTGCTTTACCAGCAGTTCTCCAATGTTGATCCCAACTTTATCTAAATTCAATCATACGAGGTCCTCTGTACCGGTGTACAAAAGGATGATGAGGCAACCATGAAGGATGAAGGATGAAAAGTGACAGATCACCACCGCCAGTCAAAATAAAATTCCACTACTTTATTCCACGCGTACTGCATACTGCGTACTCATGAAATGTGAACCATGATCTTCTGGAACGCGAAGATCTCTCTTGAATTGACTCTTGTGATTTGTGAAGTTGCGATCAATTTGCTCGGTGTCTGGATATTCGGGAATTGAGAAGTGATCCCTTACTACTAGCTACAGAGTAGTACGGGGTTTACGAATGTCATTTGTTGATTGCTCTGTAGATCCCTCCCTGATCATGCTTTTGTGATGAGTATGTTTTCTTTTTCTCAACGCTCCACCCTTGTTTCAAAACATGAACTAATGGAAGTCATTTCCAAGCAGCGCTGACTAGTCAGAGGTAATCGTTTGAAGTCCCAATATCAGTTTAGGGTATGCGTACCTCAAGCTTCTCAATACCATGTGTGCGGCTCCAACAGGGAACAATCCAACGACAAATGCAAGTATGCCTTATCCTTGGTGACGAAAGCTTACTGACCTCTAGGGTTGGGTAGATAGTTGTATGTGTGCCCTTGTTTCGTATCCTCAAAAGACAAGTTGCGCCGTTCGACTGCATCTGATAATCCGATTGACTTGACAGTCTCGTCCCTCCCCCACCCAAACCCAACACCAGCTATCCCAGGTACTATTAAGACCCCATAATACTCCTAAGTGGCGCAATATAGTGCTGTGAGCTTACTGTAATTACAAATCGCTGCGCTTAAAATCCTTTTGCGAACTCTGGCGCGGAATCCCGTCAATGAGATGGCAGCATCGAGATAGATGCATCGTGCTCGCGCTGCAGAAATTACGTATCGCGCTGATCTCTACATACAGATTTCAAGGGGCTGAGAGAGCTAAAGTCTCTCGAAGCATGACTGCATCTGATTGGGTCCAATGCATATAGTTTCACAATCAGGGGGCTTGATATCTACCTAAGGACATCGTTAAGAGTCACTGCTCGCTAAATAAATGCCGAGGAAGACGTCATGGCTGATCTAAAGAGAGATATCGTTCTACAATTACCTCTCTAGACTGGACCATCATGCGGAAACAGCAATGGAGAGCAGAATTTTTCAGTTGCAAGATAGGTACCTAGGTTTCTTATGCACCTGGTCGATGGTTCCGTCAGGGCCAATGGATTGCAATGGTTGGCCCTTAGAACGACCGTACTTTATGATCGAATACTAGTACGAGCTTTGCCTTCGCTTCCTCTTATCATCTGCTGGTTTGCATTTTATGACCAACAAAGTCATTCTAATGGGATATGTTTCTACAGAAGGATTTGTGTTTCCCGCTATGAAAGGGATAAAGTCCCTCCCGCCTTCGTGTCGCTTCATTCCATCTTATTTTGCTGCTTCTTTGTCATGATCAAGATTCTCGCTTGCGATTCGTGCTCGT